CCCCAAAACCCCAAAACCCCAAAACCCCAAAACCCCAAGAAGGGAGTGTTAAATTGATCAAGGTGATAATCATGAAGATCATTTATGAAATTATTGCTCCTGCTCTTCTCCCTCTTCATCATCTTCAAAGGCCTTCCATCTTTTCTCTTTAGACTGGATCTTGCGCAGAATAGTTTCATTAGAGTTATGCTTGGACTTGTCCATCTCAAGCTTTTTGCTGACGAATTCTTCCCTAATCTTTTCGTCTTTGGCTACTTCTCTCCTGATTTCAGTTTGTTGGTGACTAACAGCGTTGAAGAGACGAACAACACCTTTAGTGGCGATCATTTGGAGATTCTTTTCATAGTCTAATTCTTTTAGAGAGGGAACTCTTCGTCCTTGTCTTCTAATAAGCTCCTTTTCATAAATCTTCTTCTTTTCATCTTTGGTTTGCTTCTTCTCTTTTTCAAGAAGTTTGAATGGACGCGAGTTCTTGCTAAGAATTGCTCATTTTTCTTCTGTCTGTGGATTCTCTTCTGTACCAAGGATGTCAAGAATAGCATTTGAAATAGAAGGCTTGGATCCTCCTTTATTCTCTGAGTTCTCTTGCTTTTCAGCTGGTTTATCTTCAATAGCCTCGTTACCACCTATAAAGTTACTAAAATGACTACTCTCAAGTTCATATTGGTTATCATAGATTAAGTTGTCAAGCTCTTCTCCAAATCCGAGCTCTTCACTCTGCTCACTATGAGCCTCCTCCTTCTGTTTAGCTGCTTCATCTTCCTTGTCTATAAATTAACTCCAAAAAGTACATTTATTTATTATAATTCTTAAGGTTCTTCTTAGCCTTAGAGTTGAGTCCCTTCATCTTGTTAATCTCTGCTTCATTAAGGAAGGAGACAACCTTGGAGTCAGCCCCTTCAATATTCTCCTTGCGTTCTTCCTTCTGACGTCTGAAGTTCTTCTTATCTCTCTTCTTGTTTTTACCCATTGAAATCAATATTTTATTATCTTAGTGGGGTTTTGGGGTTTTGGGGTTTTGGGGTTTTGGGGTTTTGGGGTTTTGGGG